GGCTTCCCGCTGAGCAGGGAGCCCGATGTGGGGCTCGATCCCAGGACTCTGGGATCATGACCTGAGCCGAAGGCAGACGCTTAACGACTGAGCCACGCAGGCGCCCCTCAAATAATAAATCTTAAAAATAAAAAAGAGAGAGAGGTAATAGGAATAAGTAACTATTACTTATTCCTATTACGCTCATCAACTCAGCTACAGATGAATTAATCAAGGACTCATTTGGGTACTCAGTGCTGTTCAGAATTCCTTTATTCATTCCTAATTAGTAACTTTTCTCATTTTCTGAATTTACCTATCTTCCTTTCCCTCTCAGTAGGGGAGAATAAAGACCACTGAGATTGAGCTTCCTACTTACTTCTTTTTTTTAAAACAATGTCAAAAAGTCAGTGTATTTAACCATACTCAGCTTGTAACAGAGCAAATGGATAAATGGAATAATAATTCATGTTATACCCTATTATTATACGAACAGGCAACAGGAAAATTTGCTAAAGGAAGGCAGGGTAACTCTTACCTTTAAGAATTAGAACCAAGGGGCTCCATAATCATCTGGTATCCACTCAAATGTTGTACCTATGGTTAGAAATGTACATGATGGGAATTCCGGGGATCTTCCAGATCCTTCATTTAAGGTCCCAGTCAACTGTGACCACAATGTAACACTTGTGAGCTACTCTCTCTGTACTAAGCAGTCATCTGCATAAGTTCCTTTGTGTGTCGTTGGTAATCGTTCAAATCTTGGATCCCTGGCAATCTTTCGGGTTACACAATACTTCAGCCCCAATTTCTCAATTTCAACCATTATGCAGTCAGTTATTCAAGGGATACATTTGGCATACAGAGAGTCCATCATTGACTATACAAAGTTGAGTTTGGCTTTAATGGAAAAGTTTGATAAAGTTGATATCAACCAGGATGTGGCCAGATGGGCCCAGCCACATGTTATATTGGAAGAATAAACAGGAAGGATGTTGGGAGACTTCTCTTTCCTTCGGTGCACTGGGATCTTTCTTTTCTTTCTTTTTTAGGTATTAATCTATTCCTCTCTTTGAGTCTCTCATCTCTAAGCATTCACTTCATGGTCTATTACTTTGCCTTCTTTTGTTTCCCCATGTTCACACTGCACCTGTTTTTTTTTTTAAAGATTTTATTTATTTATTTGAGAGGGAGAGAATGAGAGATAGAGAGCACAAGAGGGAAGAGGGTCAGAGGGAGAAGCAGACTCCCCGCTGAGCAGGGAGCCCGATGCGGGACTCGATCCCGGGACTCCAGGATCATGACCCGAGCCGAAGGCAGCCGCCCAACCAACTGAGCCACCCAGGCGCCCTGCACCTGTTTCTTCTGGGATCACCTCCTACTTACTCCTTCTTAAAAAGCCTCTATCTTGAAGCTTTCTGGAGGGCATTAGATAATTCAACTATTCAGCATCCTGTGCCAAACTACTCGATTTGCTATCATTCCCCAATACTTCTTCATTACCCTGGTTAACTAGGACTGTGTATAGGTATCAAGAAGTTTAATATATGATTTTTTTTTTTTACTAAGAATGGCAATTCTAGAGAAAAAGAATCATAAACGTGTGTTGTTGATTTATTGGAATAACAAACACCAAAGAATACATAAAGGAATTACATAAATAAATTATGATACAGACACGGAATATTCTGCAGCCATTAAAAATAATGTTGTAAAAGGATATTGAAATAGAAAAATCTTTACAATGTGAAGAAGCAGGCTACAAAACAGTATGGTTAATGTATCATTTTTGTGAAGAAACTAATGCATGGAAAAACTACTAGGACAGACATAAAAATATGAACATCGTTATCTTTGAACTATGGACTTTTTTTTCTTTATATTCTTTTGGTGTTTTCCCAGAATTTCTGCATTTTACTTGTATTAATTTTGTAAATAGAAAAAAGCAAAATGGACGCTGACTTAATTAGAGAAAGGAAGAGGGAAGGTGCCAGAACCCTGGGGAATATCTACATTTAAGGTGTTTGAATGAGGAAGAGGAATTGACATCTTAGACTTGTACTTTTTAAGAACTAAGTTTTCTTTTTGCTGGTTCTTGCTATTAGATCTATTTTAGCTTCCTAGCTGCCTATCAGTATTATATACTTAACCTAGCCTTAAGCATCTAGGTTAAAATAAGGGGAAAAGACACACATTTTTTTTGTAAAACAAAACATACCCACAAACCAGTATTTTTTTTTAAAGATTTTATTTATTTATTGAGAGAGAGAAAATGAGAGAGAGAGAGCACGAGAGGGAAGAGGGTCAGAGGGGGAAGCAGACTCCCTGCCGAGCAGGGAGCCCGATGCGGGACTCAATCCCGGGACTCCAGCATCATGACCTGAGCCGAAAGCAGTCACTTAACCAACTGAGCCACTCAGGCACCCGAAACCAATATTTCTTACAGTCCTAGGAATCCCATGAACAGATGCTGGCCATACACATAGCATAGTCTTTCAAGTCCTCAAGAGGTCTTTTATTTTAATACAGCGTAGGTAAGAAATCCTCCTGGGTAGAGAGGTACTTCTGGAAATCGTATTAATTCTTTCGGGCTAAAGTAGTATCATTTGAAAATATTTCTAGAGAAACACTGTTTCTGTAGCATTGAAAGAACCCATTCCATCCCATCCTAGAGGGTTTAGGAGTAACCCAAGGAATGACCAAGCTAATCCATCTCACAATTTTGGTCACTGCTCTAAAAGCAGAGTTATCATATAAAACATCTCATACAGGGGCACCTGGGTGGCTCAGTCGTTAAGCGTCTGCCTTCGGTTCAGGTCATGGTCCCAGGGTCCTGGGATCGAGCCCCGCATCGGGCTCCCTGCTCAGCGGGAAGCCTGCTTCTCCCTCTCCCACTCCCCCTGCTTGTGTTCCCTCTCTCACTGTGTCTCTCTCTGCCAGATAAATAAATAAAATCTTTAAAAAAAAAAAAAATCTCATACAGAGGCCTCAAAATGATTCGTACTCACAGACACTACTAACAAATAGTCAAAATAAAATAGTGCTCCACAAAGCAAAACGAAACAAAACAAAAACGAAAACTGCATTTACATGTATTAAATGCATTTACATAAAAAATAAATATAATAATATACAGGAAAACCATTTGTTAAAGAATGACATATATTAGGCAACAGAGAATTAGGCAAACCGGAAAATCTGAAGTGTTCTTGTCATGTAAATTTAGGAAATTATAAAGAAAACAGAATCTACGGGTTTAAGAATGTATTGTGAAGAGACTTTCTCTCTAGATTTTCTCTACAACCCTTTCAGAGTGCAGCTTATATGAATAAATACTTTGAGAAGCACCTGCTTTGAAACAGACTTCCCACTGGCCATGTTAATAACTGACAATCACACAAGAATCAAGATTACTGGGCACCTGGGTGGCTCAGTTGGTTAAGCGACTGCCTTCGGCTCAGGTCATGATCCCGGAGTCCCGGGATCGAGTCCCATATCAGGCTCCCTGCTCAGCAGGGAGTCTGCTTCTCCCTCTGACCCTACCCCCTCTTGGGCTCTCTCTCTCTCTCAAATAAATAAATAAAATCTTTAAAAAAAAAAAAAGAATCAAGATTACTTTTCAAGATTTGATTGCAGGTATTTCTTATATAATTGAATTTACATGGCTGTAGAAATGTAAAGACTTCAAATCTGGGCTTAGGGGATCCTAAGGTTAAATTCCAAAGCACTGTTTGCAACCAAAAGGAGCTAGGAAATACTAGAAAATGGGTATCTACCAGCTAGCTTAACTGCAGCCAGAAATACTATCACTGTGAAAAGCCGGTCCCCAGGGAACATTAGCTCCTGAAGGGCAGACATGTTTGTTTGTGTTTTGTTCAGGGCTGCACCCTAGCATCTAGAACAGGGCCTCCCACGCAGTAGACACTCAGTATTTTAACTAACGAATGAATCAGAGAGACCATTCTTGGCATACATGAGGAGTCAATCCAAATTCATTTCATGTATCAATACCGCATAATCTCCCACCAACTGCAGAAGCTGTTACTGAATGACTAACATGTTAGGAAGCTAACTGTACTGTCACTGTATACTTTTGAGAAAAATGAGTGATAAAAAACGATGGTTTTTACTCTTGAGGAGCTGGGACCCAAGTAACTGTGAAATCGTTATGCCTGTTACTAAAGCATGACAGTATTATGAGGACATATAACATTCCCGGTATTTCCATCTTCTTACCACCCTCCCAAACGCGGTGAGGAAGCCAGTCCTAAGGTACAGGGGCTGCTTCCCTCAGACACTGGTGCATCACCCAAGGCACTTGTACCAGCATCTGCCTGGCAGCGCTAACAGATGGAAGACATTCATCATCTGTTTGGTGTTCCCACCTTGTCCATCCAGCTTCAAATATAACTACGCTGAGCTAGATGAGTCAGCAGCTGGTCTTCCAAAAGCTAGTGCATCACTCCCAAAGCAAAAAGGAACAACTTCACACTTCAGAGGCCTGCATCAGTGCCAGAAGTATCCATGTTGCCTCAAGGTTTCAGACTCCCCAGTGATCTTTCACTCGATGGATACCAAGGCAGAGGCAGATCTGAAAGCTGGAGAAAAACAGATGGGTTCTCATACACAACTGCGGCCCCAGCCCCAGGCAATATAGGAAATGGTGTTTGTTCACACTGTGGATTAACTGCTTTGAAGGATCAAAATGCAGAAGACCGCTACATTCAACATATAAGGTTTTCTTAATAATAAAGCACTAAAAAAAATGTGAATAAGTCATTCTTTTATTTTTCAGAAGCGAAAATGACAAGTCGCAACTTGCCTTTCGAAAAGGCATTAAAGAATATTGGGGTAATAAGCTATCTATCTCATGGAGACAGTAGCCTAAGAGTCAATTATCACCCAGCTCTCAAAGAAAGTCCAATTAAATAAATCTCAGAATAATATGCTTTTAAGTAAAACAACAAAACAAAAAATATCAACAAAAAGTTATAAAGAATCCATAAAGTGGTATATGAAGAAAAAGGATAATCTGGAAATCCACATACTGAGAGTGCTCTATTGAAATCAAGGAAGCCCAAATCCTAAAACAGAAAAAAGAAATACGTTAAAACACAGTATTTTAAGAGTCAAATGAGGTTACTGCAGATGCACATTTTAATGCTTTATTTACTCGGGACATTTTTTTCTTTCTCTTGGAGCACTTTATATATACTGTAGGAGATCACGTGAATGAAAGTGCAGAGATCTGCCTTCTCAATGAGCCCCTCAAGTTTTAAATATCAAATCTGAGTCTGGAATCCCAATTAAAAGTTTATATAATAGACTACAAAGAATGAAACTGCTTACTCAACTGCATTTGCTTAACTCTTCCACATTATGGCTTAAAAACAATCTGTAAACTTTTGAAAGAGACATGACAATTTACAGTATGAAAATAGGGCTATGTGAAACTATACATACTTTCTCATAAAGTAGGACTGACAATTTCCAAAATGAAGATGCTTACTGCAAAATGACAGAGTTGGTGGGGGAGGAGGTGGGGTAGGCAGTGCAGAACCACCAGTGGAAGGCACCAAAATCCTGGATTCTACATTCAGCTTTGTACTGATTAGTTATATCTTAGTCTGGACTTACTCAGGTCTCAATTTATTCCCTGGTAAGAAGAGGCAGATGGATCTCTAAGCTTCATTTAAATCCAAAGATTCTTATAGTTTATAAGAAAAGATTTGAAAAACTTTTTGGCCAGTTGAATAAATTCCTCAGATCCTGACAGGGTCTGTCACTGTTCAACTCTCATGAAAATAACTATAAAGTAGATCCCATATTTTATTGTGAGAAAAGAAAAAAAAATCTACCTTTGTGGCAAAATTATACTTCATATACTATTTATACACTATAACATAGAAAATAAGTGTCTGTTCCTTTCCTGGCCTCTAGAAGCACTATCTGAGACAGAATCAACTAAAAACCCTAGGACTATGACTTTGGCCAAAACGTCTAGCCTGCCTTGGGGCACCCAGGTGGCTCAGTCGGTTGGGGCTCTGGCTCTTAGTTTTGGCTCAGGTCATGATCTCACGGGTTGTGGGACGGAGCCCCATGGCAGGCTCCACGCTCGATGGGGAGTCTGCTTGAGGAATCTGTCCCTCTGCCCCCCCAACCCGCTCGCATGGGTGCTCTCTCTCTCTCTCAAATAAATATATAAATCTTAAAAAAAAAAAAAAAAAAAGTCTAGCTTGTCTTTCTCTCTGCCTTCTGAGAGCTGCTAGATGGTTCAAAGTGAACTATCACCTAACAAGTACCCTGCACCCTACATGTTATATAGGACTTCTCCATTGCTGAGGAGATTATGCCAGGGAATCATTTTCCTGATAGTCTATCAAAATCCTGAGAAAAATCTAGCATTATTGGAAGATTATTTATTAGAACAGACTAATGTACAGCCCTGGAAATAAAAACCTGTAGGAGCAGAGTCCTAGAGAACCAGAGAGTTGAACCAGGAAGACTGATGATATCTCTGACTTATCCAAGTGTACTACCTATTTAAAGCTGCAGCCAGTTAATAATTCTCATGGGCAGGGCCAAACTTTAGGTTAGAGTTAAGTACTTATAGTAGTTCAGGGTTAAGACTCAATCAACCTTCAGGTTTAGGGAAGAAGAGAAGGAAGAGGTTTAAGGATCATATTGACCCCAGGAAAGCAGGAGAGCAGCAAAGACATTCCGTACTGAACTCTCTACAACACATACTTTCCTCATAACCATCATGTAATACTATGAAATATCTTTTTGCTTTGATGTTATCTTTTTGTTGTGAACTCTCTCTTCTAACCATAATCTCTGCAAGGAGAGACTGAATCAGGAACTGCAGGAGCAATGAGGGTACATAAAAATGCTTTACAAAAGACTAGAGATGGTTCAGGTAAATGGAGACCTGTGTTTCTAGATAAGCAAAATGAGAGGTTTATAACATTAGATGATCTTAAATTTCCTGTGGCTCTCACATTTTCATAATTTTATACAGATAATACACCATAATAAAGATTATACATGCATATGACTTACTGTTTCTTTTTAAAAATATTTATGGATATAACTGTGTTTTTCTAAATGTCTCATTAGTAATACTCAGTCTTGTAAGTCTGGTTCCATAATAATCTATAATGTAACTACTTCCATCTGAAGGTCCAACGATCTAGAAGAGAAAATTTTCAAAATTACCATTTTACAAAAGACATTTTCACAATACTTTGTGTTTACTTTGCTCGGTTGCTACTAAATTATTTCAGCAGCACCAAAATACAACTTAACTGAACTCAAGCAAAAAAAGTAACTTAGTGGCTCAGGTAGCTGAAAAGGATATTGGGGAGGATCACAGGATCCAAAGAGCTGCAGGAACTAAAGCCTCAAGGACTGAAATTCCACGCGGTGCCGCCGCCGCCCCCCCCCCCTCCACCGCCCGTGGTTTGGCCTCTGGGCCTTTTAGCTCTTCTGCCTTCACTCTGCAGAGAGGCATTCCCACCTGCTTGCCAACAGCTCCAGATTTACATCTTCAAAGCTCAGCAGCTCCCCGTAGAAAGTATAATTTTCTTCCTCAGTGTTTGTATACAAATTCCAGGGAAGGACTGATTTTGGGTTTTATGCCTACTGCTGGACAAATTATGATAGCCAAGGGAATAGAATTAATGTGATTGGCGAGGCCAGTCCCCGTGGGAGTGGGAGGTAGTGTGAGGGACAATCCTTCCAGAACCACGTGGAATGGAAGAGATAGAAAAGAAACAACACAGGCTCATTACAGTCATCTTGTCCACTTAATCACATTTCTGACAATCCAGTTAACATGATTTCTACAAATTATTCTTTAAGATAGCAATCTTCATGGGGCACCTGAGTGGCTCAGTCAGTTAAGTGTCTGCCTTCAGCTCAGGTCTCATGGGGCACCTGAGTGGCTCAGTCAGTTAAGTGTCTGCCTTCAGCTCAGGTCATGATCCCAGGGTCCTGGGATCAAGCCCCGCATCGGGCTCCCTGCTCTGCGGGAGGCCTTCTTCTCCCTCTCCCACTCCCTCTGCTTGTGTTCCCTCTCTAGCTGTCTCTGTCAAATAAATAAAATCTTAAAAAAAAAGAAAAAAAGATAGCAATCTTCAAACTGTAGCCTTAGGGGCACACAAAGATTTACCAAAATGTATGTGAGCCCAGATGGTTTAAAGGAAATCAATTTTGAGACCCTTAATTCCCATAAATACTCTTTGTAAAAGTGATCGACCTGATACCAAGCCATGGTGGGGGCAGAGTTCCCTTCCCACTTCCCTCTCCCTGTGGTCCTTTCTCCAGAAGAAACTTGATGACAATAAACCACGCATGCCATCAAAGCAGGTATTATGATGGAACAGTGCCTCTGATGAGCCAAAGAGATAATTCAAAATACTGGACTTCAGGAAATCTCCTTTAAATCATTTTTTTAAAAGGTTTTATTTATTTATTTGAGCAAGAGAAAGCACAAGCAGGGGGCGTGGCAGAGGGAAAGGGAGAAGCAGGCTCCCTGCTGAGCAGGGAGCCCAACTCCACTCAGGGCTCGATCCCAGGACCCTGAAATCATGACCTGAGCCAGGGGCAGCTGCTTAACTGACTGAACCACCCAGGTGCCTCAGGAAATCTCCTTTAATCAAGAGTCCAAAAATATGCTTGCTCTGCCTCATCTTTTTCAAAAGTTGCATTCCCAGTAACATTTTACTTTTTTTGCTTAAAAGTAATTTGCTAAATCATTTTTATAATATATGCTTATGCTGTTTTGATCAACTGTGTGTCAACAATTATGACAACAATCCAGTAAGTACAGAAAATTTTATAATCTTTTAATGAATCATGAAAATCATGATAATGAAACTGATCAGAAGATTTTTCAAGCATAAAAAACATAAAGAAAGTCAATTATCATATGGTTTCACTTATTTGTGGAACATAAAAAATAGCATGGAGAACATTAGGAGAAAGAAGGGAAAAATGAAGGGGGGGAATCGGAGGGGGAGACGAACCATGAGAGACTACAGACTCTGAGAAACAAACTGAGGGTTTTAGAAGGGAGGGGGGTAGGGGGATAGGTGAGCCCAGTGATGGGTATTAAGGAGGGCTCCTATTGCATGGAGCACTGGGTGTTATACGAGAACAATGAATCATGGAACACTACATCAAAAACTAATGATGTAATGTATGGTGATTAACATAACATAATAAAATAAATAAAATTTTAAAAAATATTACATTAGGATAAAATTCTGTGGGAGAATGGAACTAGAAATACAAATTCAAGGAGAAAAAGAAACTATGTAAAAATCACAATGGTTGGGCGCCTGGGTGGCTCAGTTGGTTAAGCGACTGCCTTCGGCTCAGGTCATGATCCTGGAGTCCTGGGATCGAGTCCCACATCAGGCTCCCTGCTCAGCGGGGAGTCTGCTTCTCCCTCTGACCCTCTTCCCTCTCGTGCTCTCTATCTCTCATTCTCTCTCTCTCAAATAAATAAATAAAATCTTAAAAAAAAAAAAAAATCACAATGGTTAGTGAAGGGTTCATTCATGTCTTTTTTAAATGAATGATATTTTAATTCTATGGTATTTATATTTCATTGGATACATTTTAAAATTGATGTAACAGTTTTATTTAAATACATCAATATTTGCAAACCAGAAATTATATCCTTTGCAACTATTTAAACTTATGATGGAAAACTTAAATGTCAACTTAAAAACGTGTGGAGGGTAGGGATTTTTTTAAAAAATTCTTTCAGGGGTTATACAACCAGAGTTTGAAGAACACTGTTGTAGCGCATGCTTCGTTTTAAAAATAAGTTTGGTTTTTAAAACTATTTGACAAATACTGGATTCCTACAACACTCCAGGCACTGTGCTTGGCATTATACACATAACAGTGAATGAGATACAATCTCTGCCCATGAAGAGCTTATACTAGTGAACTATAAATATTAATATTCAAATAACACAAAGCACTTTTGTGCTAAATACCATGCTGGGTACTGTTATGCACTCTGCTTATTTTCCAAAGATTAATTTGGTTTGATATTTATGAATGTTATTTAAGAATGTAATAAAACCTTGGGGCACCTGGGTGGCTCAGTGGGTTAAACGTCTGACTCTTGATTGCGGCTCTGGTCCTGATCTCAGGGTCTTGGGATCAATCCCTGGGTCAGGCTCTGCACTCAGCTGGAGTCTGCTTGAAATTCTCTCCCTCCCTCTCTCTCTGCCCCTACCCCTGCTCCTTCTCTCAAATGAATAAATCAATCTTTTTTTTAAAGTAAAAAATAAAAAAGAATTTAATAAAACCTTTGCAGTGGTCAAGGTCCCAGAGGAAACTTACTCTGAGCATTAAGCCGAGAAAGAGAAGAACGAGTGACTAGGAGTCACAACGTGTTTTGAGACTGGACAAGGGGAACAAAGAAAAACTAAAGCCCAGCCTGTAGAAATAAAACAAATCATATGGCAAAAAAAAACTGCCTCATTAGGAACATGTGCATAGCTTGGGACCAGGCCTTTTGTCCCATTCTCTTTTTCTTCCTTTGCTGTCTCCCCTATTCCTGTTGAAAAAAAGCATTCAAGGCTGGAAATAAGGAAAATACATGATTAGGTGACCTTTTCATATCATGCATTTCTATTAAGTCTACCTGAGGCTCACTTGCCTCTCTTGGGAAATGTAAAACTAACTAAAGCCAATCAGGACCCACATGTTTTACAATCTTGTAAAGTCAGTAGTTAACATGTAGAAAAATAATAAGGTGTTGTTTTTGTGTTTTTGTTTTGTTTCCTCTGTTCTGTAGAGAAGATAGCCCAGAAGGATACAGTTTTATTACCTGGTAATACAGGATCTAACTCTGTATCTAACTCAGCCATTTTCTTACCATTTCTCTCCACTCAAACTCTGTCACTGTGGCTCCTCAACAACCAGTTCTAGCACAGGAATTCCACTCCTCCTTCCAGAGACTGGGTCTGCCTGGGCATGGAATCTAATTCTGGCCAACCACCAATGATGCAAGTTCACTGTTGGCATATCTGCCCTTAAGAAGATATGTGTGTGTGTGGGGGGGGACATGGGTTCTTTCTGCTGCTGACAGTCACTATATAATGAAGTGATGCTAACCAAAATACCTGAAGATGGCAAAGAGAAAGAAGGAAGGAGAGAGGGAGAAATAGGAGGGAAGGAAGGGAAGAGAATGGGAGGGAGGGTCCACCATTATGTCCTTCAGCTCTAAATTAACAAATCTTATAACTACCTTAAATCTAGATTCTTGGTATGATATAGTAAACTACCATATTATGAAAGCAAATTTAAATTGAGGTTTCTGTTACTTGTAGCCAAAAACACCTGATAATGCACTAGTTTTCAGCACCCCCTCCTCACTACTGCCAGATCACCAAAGCACGGCTCTCATTGCTACTCTCTGCTAAAACAACCTGAAGAGCTTCCCCAAAGACAAACAAATTCGGTCACTGTGGGAAAGCACCAGAGGAAAGGAAAACTGGAAAAGGAGGAATCCTCTCTGGATTTCAGGTTTTTGTATCCATATAAAGAGGAATAGAATAAGCTGATCTATACGGTATTTTTTAAGTTCTACATCTTGTATGACTATGACATTTAAATGTAAACACATCTACAAGGTATTATCAATATACTTTCCTTTGAACTATGCCATCAAAGAAGAAATTGTTCATCCTACTTAACATTTAAGAAAACTATCTGTTGCAAAATTTTCAACTATTCTCACCAAAATCGAAAACTTGTTTTTAAGCATCTTATATATACTTATGTACAATACATGTGCCTATTATAAATTCCTTTATTATATTATTAAATTAATTATAAAATTACAAGACTTTAAAAATATCCCATGCTGAGAAATTTTTTACTCAGTTGGATATGCCAATGTCCATTTGTTTATTGGCAACAGAGTATGAAACCTGAAATTATGTTTGTTTCTCTGCTAAGAAATAGCCTGAAGCCAAATTCTACAGCATGAAGTATTTCCATTTGATAAAATGGGGAATATTTCCATAATCTATGGGTCCAATTCATGGACCAAGAGGTTGCTACAGGTCTTCATCTTCCAAAAGGGGAAACAGGAGGGTCACTACACTGTGGGAAGCTATTCTGTACAATAGGTATCAAGGTCTCTTGTGTGAGAAGCCTTAA